TCTACTTTGACTTTTCCCATCAAATTTATTGCTGTCCTCAGTAGTTAAAAAATGGGAAAATATGTCTCCCACTCATAGTTTGTAGCAGTTTGCTTTCAAACAAAATCACAACTGTTTTTTCTCTAAAGAGGCAGTATATGACATTGTACTTAAATACAGAGATCCCAGAACGAGACACCTGGGGTTCAAATCACTTTTACGGGCCGTATAACCTTGGGCAAGTTATGTAACTTCCCTATGACTAGTCTTCCTTATCAGAAAAATGGAAGTGATAGCATTTTCCTAGAACTGTTAGGGTAAACCAAACTGAGTTAATACATGTAAAGTGCTTAGAATGGTGCCTGATTATAGTAAGCACCCAAGAAATATTAGTTAATAATATTTCATCCAGATTCTCCTTTGTAAAAACCCCTATGTATATTTAACAACCAAAAGACTGAAGATTTCCCCCTGTTGGACTCTTATATATGGTCATCTTTCCACACACATTATTGAAAATTTGCTTCATATACTCTTCTTCCCTGCTTCAGAACATTATAGGAAATATGAAATAAAATAAAACAACAATTGCAAAAATATCTTCTAGTTCTCTCCCCACAGCCCATTATCTATGCATTCATCATCAGCTAAAGTGAGATGAAAATTTTATTATGAACCAAAAAATGCAACCATGGTTTTACCCCATAGTTAGTGAATCTGGGTTAGGTTTAGGGAAACCTGGTTTGAATTTTAGGTGAACCTCCTTTCTACTCTCAAATGCCAAGAGAGGATTTATAGTTTCAGGTGGATATCGAATGAAATTTGGTAAGTTCATCTGAGTTTTACTTTAAGTTTGTCATTTGAACGAACTCAAATTTCATACAGCCTAATCCTTATATTTACAGTTTTTCTGCCATTTTCACCTCAGTTAATAAAAAAAAAATTAAGTAAAAATTGAGACATGATGTACAGTATGTGAGCAAATTGTAATATTATAGAATACATGCATTCCTTTGTCTCAAAAATAAGAAATTATGAAGAAAGTATCATAACGTGCTTTAATGAGTCAAACTATTTTGTGCAGTATATTCCCCTTTAACTACTATTCCATTTATCTGCCATGAAATTCCAAATTGACCAGATGATAATTAGCAAAATTGTCTAGTTCTGTCAACATTTAAAGATCTGTATCACGCCATCTTTTATCCCTGGCTCAGTTAAACTGTGACTTTAAAATCAAATTTGTATAATTTAAGCTTTCTCCATTTTTGCATTTCATCCCCAGAAATCAGAAGCCCAGACTTTAAGCTAGCTAATTTTCCAAAATTATATGCTACAGGTTTTGGAAGATTTAGGGATAGATATTTTATGTCAAAATGATAGGTTCACAGTTCATGATTGATGATCTTGTACAAATAAATGATATATGCCCATTAGATAAAGGGGTCTTCTGGGATGAGAAGATTAGGCAAAAGTGAGCATAGAGAAATTTCTAAATCCTACATTTGCAGAGATATGGGCAACATACTGTCAGCTTCTGTTTTATTATAAGACAAAATAATCTTAAATAACTTACTTATGAAAATTGATTTTATCAATGAGCTCTGAAAAGATTATTTGCCTAAAACTGCATTTTTCACTCTAACAGTTAAGTAGAAACTCTGTAGTTACATTTCACTGAATACCTACTTTTTAATTTAACTAAACAGTCATGCTGAGATAATGTTTTTCTTAAGAAATGTATACTATATAAAATTCCCCCAAATACTGCTAAGATCTTTTCATAAATTAACTACATTTCATACTATTTAAAAATATTAAAACATGAAAACACACCAAAAAAGTCATGAGCTTTTTTTTTTTCAATTTGTAGTCCCAAATCTACTGTTCATAAAAATAAACTTTACAACATCTTTAAGAATCCAAAAGAACCCCGGTCAAGATTTTTTTGGCTAGAAAAGAAAGCGGTTTTGATATTCAAAAATTTGGCTGTGCTTAGTCAATCCCCAAAAGGGAAAAATCAGCTAATCTTAGCAAGATGGTAAATTTAAGTGATTCTGTAATCTAACTTAGTCCTAAATCATGTTTTAAAATATGATCAAACAGTAGGGACTGGGAAAAGACATAGAAAGTTTCAAAAATAACTTAAAATAGAAAAGTTGAGCATTTCTTTAAGAGGCTTTTCTGTTTCTAAATTAAAGTATGAATAGCATCCTACTGAAAAATAGCAGCAATGTCTGTGCTAGCATGTTTCACTTAATGGCAACAAAAAAGTCCACTTAACATATTCTACTGTATCATATAAAGCAATATTAAACATCAGATTTTTGTTTGTCAAGTATTTCAGGTGTCATTCTAGAGAGCAAGCCAGCTAAATATGGATACATCTATACACAGAATGTAATACTCATGCAACATACAACTCTGCACACACATGCACAGGCACACACAAACATATATACATGAAACCTGACCAGGCTCTGCTCTGGGTCCTTGATAACTCTGGCATATTGTAAGCCCTGGAAAGAATTTTAATCTACATGGTTGGAAAATAGGGGCCTTTTAAATATGCTGCATACAATTTGTGATGGTCATCTCTAAAATGCTGCTCCATTATCCTTTTCCATTTGGAATGAATGAGGCTAATTAATTTCAGACCATACTTGATGAGGTCAGCACCATACGAGGGGTGCGTGCTAGACATTGCTAATCTCTTTCAGCTGAGAGTGATGAATTAAAGATGAAGCATGCCTTTGCAGGCCTAATTTAGAATGTATATCAAAAAACCTACAGCAAATAATACTATACCCTACAACAAAGGAAAACTTGTTCTCTCAGGCTCCCTGAGTTGTGTTGATTTTAAAGACATTTTCTGTCCTCTTTGGAATTCCAGCTGTGGATGGGTGAACCATATCAAGAAAATCAAGCCATCTCTCACACATGGCCATGTGGACAAAAAGTGGGATTAAAGGAAAGAAAGAAAGAAAGAAAACAAAAACAAAATACAACAATCAGGGTTTGATCCCTTGTGTATTAAAATTCCACCTACACATTAGGCATTTTTTTTTTCAGAGCTACCAGACTAACAAAGATCCCAAATTAGCAATACCTTTATTCAAGCAATGACCACCCAGCTCTGCTGGGACATTTCAAAGCAACATGCTAAATGAGGCAGCCCAGTTGTTTTTAAAGCAGATATCCTAATGAGTCTTATTAGGTTTTTCCATGTCTCTACTTTGAAAGCCAATAGAGATTGACCAGGTAGATAATGTGATACCTTTTATTAAGCCAAGAAATAAATTGTAATACAGATGCCTGCAGGCCAAAATGTTCTTATGAAAGTTCATGCTATGCCAACTTCTGAGTTGAAAAAGGGAGGTACTTGCTGATCTGAACTCTAAAGAGAAGAAGGAATTAGTCATGACTTCCCAAAGATGACTATTACAAATCCCTAAGGGAGGCAAAGGAGGTGGTTTAGCCCACAGACTGGAGAACATACCTTGCAAAAAGTGTTTCAGCCTATCTAGCAAGAGAAATTCTGACAGGTTATTCTAATGTGTTGGAATTTCCAACTGGTGGCCACAACAGCTCCTGACTTTGTATCCCAGTAGCCCTCATTAGAACAAAGCTGCTTCAAATTAGGTCCAATCTGCATGCTGAATCAATCTTTCCTCCCTTTGATTGCTTCTGAAAATATTTATATTTCTTAATAATGCACATTTTGTCTTGCAACTTCTGATTAAACCCAGACGAGGGTTCCCAAAGCAGGCAATGTATATGGAAGGGTGATTTGGGACAGGAAAAGGAAGATAAAAAGCACAGGTTTTTCCCATTGGGGAAAAACATTACAGAATATAAATCTAGTAATTTTGGTTATGGAAGTATCAGAGGAGGGTTGCAATAAATACAGATTGGGGTATTATTGTGACCTAATGGAGACTACAGAATATTCTTATTATTGTGTGATTCCTCATTGCGGCTTTGACTATTTGGCTGGGTAGTTTAATAAGTTTTATGAAAAATTATTGTGGGGAAGACTTTGGAAAATTTCATGTAACAACCAGTAATAGCCCACTCAAAGTATCACATCATAAAATAGAGAAATACTTATAATAGGGACATGATCCGATGATCTAAAGTATGTTTTTTGTTGAATGGGGAACATAGCACAGGGGAAATGTTCTCAGGGGGTTTGGGATTCCTGATTTGGGGGCCAAGAGAAAGGGGTCCAGTTTCCACTGTATCACCAACCTGCTGTATGACCCTGAGTCAGTCCCCTAATCTCTGCAGACCTCCCACTTTTCTTCTTGTTTTTATCTGGAAAATAAGGAAGCTATGTTTTTCTAAAGAACCATCATTGTTTTACGTATTTGGCATTCTCAGGCGGCAAGAAAAAGGAAATGGAGACCTCTTGTAGGGTTGAGTGTCCTTAGGGCCAATTTCTGAGAAGCCACACCCTCTTGCCTATACCATAGTTCTGGTATATAATAAATGTTAGCTGCTGTTAGTGTTATCATTCCCTTTTTCTTCTTCTTTATTTACATGACTTGGAGTGGAAAAATCCTGAAACAAACCTAGAAGGCATAGATTCAAATTCTGACTATACTCCTATTAGCTCCATGACCTCAGATGACTCTCCGAGGCTCAGTGTACTCATCAGCAAAATGGGAATTCACAATACCTACTTGTACAGGATTTCAGTACAAAGCAAATGAGTCATGCATGTGAGAGGACTTTTTAAACAGGTAGATCCCCATAAAAATGCAAAGGCTGATGGTCTTATTAAAACATTTTTAATCCCTAGGTTGGAAAACCTCTGGATGCTCAGAGTTGGTTAACAGATAATAAAAAAAGATAATGTCTTCATTTTGCTTCTCAAATAAATCACCTTAAAATGAGATATATAAAATGCATTAAACTGTAAAAAATAAATGCGTGTCCTCAATTATCACTGTCATCTACTTGATCTTATTCTACTGTTCTCTACCTCACCTTGTAGTTCTCTCATAATTTGATCTTACCAGAGCATTAGATGACTCTTAAGTCACAGGGTTTAGAGCAGCAAACCCACTCTCTTCTTTGCCTTCCAAGGAAAGGAGAGAAAAATCTACAAGTAAAAAGAACACATTTTAGTAAATATTAAATGATGACCTCAAAGAAGCCTTCATACCCTCGTGAAAATACTGTCAAACTTTGCTACTGGCCAACTGTATATTGGATGTGAACTTAAAAATAGATTCATTATTGAGATATAATTTGGTTTAAGCTAAAGAAGCATCATGGGGTGGGGAGTTGTTTTGTGAGTGGGATTATTAAAGAGTTGGGGCCTAAAGGTGTATGTCTATTTTAAAAAGAAATTTTCTGATTACAGATAACTTCTCAATTTGATTTAGTGTCGAACGATAGTGATGGGGTTGATAAGTGAGCATTCATCGGTAATTCATCTTGTGCTGGTAGAAATTTACAGCAAAGCAGTGCTTTCCCAACAGTGACAAGCCCTATTAATCTTCTTCAGACACATTTCAATAGGTGTTCCCATCTGTGGCCAACATCTAAACACTCTGGCAACACTGGCGACTTGAAGACACCTTCATTTCAAGTTACACTAGTGAAAATGTGATACTAGATTGTACTCTATTTTTTAACCTAATTCTCTCTCTTCATTCAATTAGCCTTTCTTGCCTGGATTTTCTGCTCATGTGTAACATCATTTCCCAGGGAGAGCTCTCGGAGATTTGGTTTCTTAGAGATGCACAGTCTCCCCCAAGGTTAGCAACCAACAACTTTTTCACAAATTAAAATTGCATAGATTCCAATTCTGACAGTCACCGGCCTCTGATCATGTATGCCCTTAAGAAGTAGAACCTGCTCAAATAAAACTCGCCTGTGCATTGAGAGGGCTAAAGAAAAGGAGAAGTTTATAAATTCAATTTGTGTTCATATTTAGAATGCAATTTATTATTATGAACTATGATGTAAATTTCACTGTGGGGGAATGCTGGGAAAAGGAGAGGTAATCAGAAGAAGATGGTGAAAAAGAAGCCAAAGGTTCAAATAGTCACGTTTGCCATATTCGGTCTATACGATGAAATCCCTCTTCTGTCCTTTTGTATCCACTGGAAGACCTCCCATTAGGGAGCAAAATAAAATAATCAGTTTGGGGATAGATTATTTCACTTAAATTGCCTTTATTCTACCAGTAACATGCTCTGGCTGGCTGCAAGTTTAGTCTAGGTGAAAAATGTGGAGGGGGTGTTTGATTTTGGATTGCACCTAAGTGCTTTTTTGTGCCATTTTCAACCTCATAATAGGTTTGGTCTTGCAAAGAAATTGGATTTGAACAGCATTTCTCTTGTGCACTTTAGAAATCTTTGAAAAGAGAAAACTCTGACACATTTTTATTTTGGAAAGGTTAGATACATCTACATAATGGATGGAATATTTTAACTTTACTGAACATTTTTTGTAATTTGAAATATATATATATACTATATATATATATATATATATGTGCATGTGCATTTGTGCCTGTGTGTTACTAGTTTTTTGTGTGTATATATGATAAAGATATATATTCTCAAAAATGTCTCCCTCCCTCACCCCAACTATTTTTTGCAATGATCATTTGAGTTTGTTATAGATCTCAATAACCTTATTGTAGGTGGCAAGTTTAAATGTGCCATATTAATAACTTGTTATCCAAGACAAATTAAGTCCTTATGTGTCAAAAGCATTCGGCACTGGATTATCTACAAGACAAGTATTTATTGAATAAATGTTGAGTCCAATTTCATTTTAATGTGACTGACTGTATGTTCAGCCTCATAGGCAGAGATAAAAACACTCAGACCTGTAACTGTGTTGCAACATTACACCTAACTTGTCTATTTCCATTATTGTCTCTTAACTCAGAATATGGAAAGAAGGCTTGCTTTCTTTTTTTTTTTTTTTTTTTTTTTTTTTGGTTGTTGTTGTTCTGAAGAGCAAGGAGAGAGATAGAAAAACGGCTGGCATTCAGCCTAAAGAGAAATCATTGAAACAAATTAATCCTATGCCGTTTAAATTGACATGGTAATCCATCATCAGAGAAGGCAAACTCTGAAAGCAATCTAGAATCTGCCCTGCTCTTTCACTGGCCCTGGAGGCACAAAGACAGATAGTAAAGGAAGGAGGGGGGGAATCATAAAAGTTAGGAATGCCTGAGAAAAGAATAAAATTGGTTATATCAGCTCTCACTGTCCTGCCTCTGCAAACCTCCTTTGGAAAGGAGAAGTTAACTTTCAACAGTTGCTTTCCCAACTTTACCTCTAAGTGGTAAGTCTCTGCAGTTGAGCTCCAGAAGTCTGCCTCCTTCTTGAGGCTGCCAGGCTGCTGACTACAGTCTAACTACATTTCAAAAGTTGACCAACTAGGAGATTTGGCAGAACCCACAGTTACACAGAAACTTTCCCAAAGTGGTAAGAGGCTTTTTGGTGGGGTTTAGGATTGGAGTTTTGTTTTGTTTTGTTGTTGTCTGGGGGTTTTTGGTGGGGGGAGCCTGGGGGGAGTGTTCTTCTTTTTTCCTCTTATCATCATCTCATTTTGCATTCAAAAAAGGATGCTATTGTAATTTTTTTAAAAAAGAGTTTTATAACATCCCTAAAAACTAAGGCAAGCCATCACGCATTTTATTTTTGGAGGCTTACTTTTCATAAATCTGCCTTTACTACAAAAAGCCTACAGAGTTACAATTGGTTTTAAATTTCAAAAATTATATGTAAAACTGAAATATGTCCCATCTTAGTAGATAAAATTTAAAAATAATAAAAAAAAAAAGACTTAGCAAGAATTCCATTGTAGACACAATGTGGCTATATTTCCAACACACTGAAACCTAAGAATTATTTTTCTCTTGAGCTAACATACGTAATGTTTTGTTTTTGTTTGGGGGGGATGGGGCATTTTGCAGAGTGTTCCCTTCCTCATTATTGCCTGGACATACAAATTTGAACACAGATGTGAATATTATTTTTTCAATTTAATACTTCATCCAGCTATAAAGGCAGGACAATTTGAAAATATTTTTTTAATTTCAGAAATTCACTGGGTTAACAATAGACAGTATGTGAAGACAAAAGCCCAAGTACCTTGGTACCAAAGGCAAGAAGGAAGAAGTATATGAATATAAACCATACTCAACAGCTGCCCTATTTTAATTTATCTAGGATAGCATTTCATCTAGTTTATTAAGAAAGCTTTGTATGTTACTGAAACATCAGTATAAACATCACACCTTTTTTCTATAATTAGAATTTTTATTCACTGGTTTTTAAAAGGAGGTGGATAATTCTTGCATACTAATACTTTTTAAAATACATAAGCATAAGAGACAAATTAAAGGCATTTCGGGAGAAAATAGGAAAAGAGAGTTAAAGACTCATATTAAATATTCATTTATCCACAACCATGCCAGTTGCAATTGTAAGAGTTGCTAGGAAAGAAGAACAGGTTTGGGTGTTTGTTTTTAATAGAACCTGGGGGATTGAAATAGCAGCTCTTCAATAACTGAACATTCAATTGCACTTCCTGAAAAAGATTCAATACCTTTGGATTTGTTTTCAATTTATAAACAACGTAGACTTTAGCAAAATAGAATATAATTTTAAAAGCCATTAAATTTACCAAAATTACATGAACGGAAATCAGTGATTAAATAAACATAAATCTTTATCACTCAGAGGAGATGATAAAGAAAAATATCTTTTTTAAACCTCTCTGTTTACATTTCACAATACTAGCTTCTCTTTAATTATTTGGTAATGTTGCAACAAAGTATGTACAAAATAAAAATTTCCAACATATCTTTGGAAGTAAATAAATAAGTTGTTAACATACATTCTACAAAGAAATTAGGTTCCCCAATTTTTTAACTTCTTCTCACTGACATGTGATGTGATATGGTCCTGTCACAAAATAACCAATGTGACATTTTTCACTGAAGTCAATATCCACTTCCTTTAATGTTTTCAGTTTTGCTTTAACTATTTAAAGTGACATCATCTCAATCAATTTACCTCAATCGTGTACATAGAAATCTCTTCAATAAGGTTGATTAATTTATTATGAATTGTAATAGATAGCTAGGAAAAGGTACCTTTCTCTATTATGTCCTCAAACTAAAAAGACTAGTATAAATTTTATTTAAACAACATACTTTGTGAACTCTCAAGCTAATATTTCCTATGGTTAAGAAGCTGAATATGATGTTAAATAGCTTCCTCTTAATTTTATACAGAAGTTCTTTACTTTTTTTTAACATGTACCTTCAAATATTTCAAGAACTCCTCATTCTAAGAGAAGAAATGAAGTTGTAATGTAATTAATTAATTTTTTTCTAAATTCATGCATAATGTTTCCCTGTTATGGCAGTGTATGTCTCGGTCCATCCACTCACTCCTGTAATTATATGCTATATATTGAAAATGTTTCTTTAAAGGCTTATAAAAACGGATAGAATGAGAATTACTCCTAAAATTATTTTCTCCTGAAATTCACCTTGAGTTTGTGGTTTAAGAAAATTAAATCAAATACATCCCCTTTGTTGTTCTGCTTGTATTTTCTTTAAATACACTGATGTAGCTAATTAACAACATTAATTTATCTGGATATTTGCCTTAGTAACATCCTCATATTTAAATGACTGACACCTGATACCATTTGATTAATGCTTTTTTGATATACCAAAAATTAACTGTCATTTTACAGATTTCATTACCAGGCTCTTGAGAAAGAGAAAAATATAGAATCAGACAATCATCCCTCACTCTCACTACTGAAAAAGCACTGATGTCCACATGGCTTTAGATGTCTTTAGAACTTTCTCAGCAGGAGTTGTCTTGCAATATAATATTAATATTAAAAGCATATATAGCCAACCCACATCAAACTTGGTTAAATGGGCAGAGAGCACCCTTATGCCATCATCTCTAGCTACAGTCCATTCTCCTTTAATTCTTCAGTCCATTGAAAAGTAAAATAGAGTGGCATATCACAAAAATTTTAAATAAATATATTAGGCAAAAGATGCTCATCTTTTGTTTAAATGTTCTGCCAAAGCTTCCAAACTAG